AAATGATAATCAATAATTGTGGGCAATGAAGAATGTATGGAAGCTTGTTTCCGCCACAGAATGAAAAATAAAAAAGGTAATTACGACTTTTTATCTCACATTTCGGACTTTTTTTCTCACAATTGCGAGTTTACATCTCACAATTCTGACTTTAGTTCTCCGAATTGCAAGATATAAAGTCAGAATTGTGAGATATAAAGTCAGAATTGCGAGATATAAAGTCAGAATTGCGAGATAAAAAGTCAGAAATGCGAGATATAAAGTCAGTATTGATTGACAAAGTCTAAATTGTGTGTTGTAAAGTCAGAATTGTGAGATATAAACTATTCTGAGGGGGAAAAAGAATTGCGAGATGTAAACTCGCAACTGTGCGGAAAAAAGTCCGGATTGTGAGATAAAATGTCGCAATTTTTTTTCTCACAATTGCGACTTTATTTCGCAGAATTGCGACTTTATACCTCGCAATGGTGACTTTATTTCTCAGAATTGTGACTTTATATCTCACAATTGCGACTTTATTTCTCAGAATTGTGACTTTATATCTCACAATTGCGACTTTATTTCTCAGAATTGCGACTTTATATCTCGCAATTGCGACTTTATTTCTCAGAGTTACGACTTTATTTCTCAGAATTGCGACTTTATATCTCGCAATTGCGACTTTATTTCTCAGAATCGTGACTTTATCTCACTTTATATCTCGCAATTGCGACTTTATTTCTCAGAATTGCGACTTTTTTTCTCAGAATTGTGACTTTATATCTCGCAATTGCGACTTTATTTCTCAGAATTGCGACTTTTTTTCTCAGAATTGCGACTTTATATCTCGCAATTCCGACTTTATTTCTCAGAATTACGACTTTATATCTCGCAATTGCGACTTTATTTCTCACAATTACGACTTTATATCTCGCAATTGCGACTTTATTTCTCAGAATTGCGAGATATAAAGACTATTTCTCACAATTTCGACTTTATATCTTGCAATTGCGACTTTATTTCTCAGAATTGCGACTTTATTTCTCAGAATTGCGACTTTATATCTCACAATTGTGACTTTGTATCTCGCAGTTGTGACTTTATTTCTCAGAATTGCGACTTTATATCTTGCAATTGCGACTTTATTTCTCTCAATTCTGACTTCATATCTCGGAATTGTGAGATAAAAAGTTGCAATTATTATTATTTTTTTTTATTCAGTGGCTGAAACAAGCTTCCATAAGAATGTGTGCAAAACAAACATCTGTGGCTTGATTTTTTTTTTTTTTTTTTGTCAGAAGCTTACTGTGTTTCAGTGGTTTAGCTGAAGCTAGACGGGATATGACGGCATTAAAAGGCAACACAATGACACCGGACATTAAATGGCATCTTTCTCTTGACTAGAACATTGTTGGAAACATTTAGTATAATGCAAGTACACAAGTCAACAAAATATATTAAATTGTCCTAGTGGTTTTTGGATATTTGAATGCAAAAATCATACATATTGTACCTTTTACGTTTCTTTTTTAAATTTAAGATTTATTTATACATTTTAAAAAACCCTTTACGTTTCTAAGTTGAAATCGGTGGAAAGTAGAAGTCAAGTTTTTTAAAAGACTTAATGTCACAAACAACACTGGAATCTATGTTTAACACTAATCCCATGATGTGTGTGTGTGTGTGTTGTCGAGGTGTTCTGAGAGGTGCTAACGGGCCCGAGTACACCGTGACTGTTGTTTAAGTGTGTGAATGAGAGAGAGTTTGGTCTAACAGTGTTTCACTCCAGTGAGCGCAGCAGTTTAACCACTGCACAAGGAAACAAGTGTGCATGCAAGTCCTAGCACATCTGGACATATATATTGTAACCGGTCAAGTCACATGGACACATGTATGTTTGTATTTATCGTAGTTATTTTAACCCATGTGTTATGTAATGTTTAAAAATGCACCGTCGCTGGTGAGAGATTTTTATTTAGCACGCTTTACTTTGACATAAGAAAATATGGCAAACAAAAATTAGGGAGGCATTTACTAGTATTTCTATGAAATAAACAGTTCTTGACTTTATCTATGCTCAACTTTTCACCAGTCTTGGTGAAAAAAGACAAAGGTACAAGACTGTGTGCGTTGTTTTCTTTAAAATTCGCAATTCTTTAACTCACACTTCAGCTACACTACCGTATTAAAGTTTTTAAATGTTTTTGAAAGTCTCTTCTGCTCACCAAGGCTGCAATTTTTGGTTGAAAAATACAGTAAAAACAGTAATATTGTGAAATATTATTGCAATTTAAAATAACTGTTTTCTATGTGAATATATAGTAAAATGCAATTTATTCCTGTGATCAAAGCTGAATTTTCAGCATCATTACTCCAGTCTTCAGTGTCACATGATCCATCAGAAATCACTCTAAAATGATGATTTGATGCTCAAGAAACATATATGACTATTATCAATCATGAAAACAGTTGTGCTGCTTCATATTTTTGTGGAAACTGTAATACATCTAGCATTTATTTAAATTAAAATCAATCATTTCAGTTATCAATTATCAATTTAATGCATCCTTAATGCAAAAACACTTTTGAACAGTAGTATATCATCACTTAAAGGTGCAATGTGTAAAAAATTTTGAGTATGGCAATATGACATCCATAACTACTGTATGTTTTCAGTGGTGTATAAAGAACTTACTTAATAAACCGTACTGTTTTTATTACCTTATAATGAGATGTTTATAGGCACCCACTTCTATGAAGGTTGCCATTGTGGGTTCATGTTTCGACCGTAGCGAACGTGAACACACAGCGCTACAGAACACGCTTCTGGGTTTGTATATGGGGAGAAATGTGCTAGTTACGTTTGTGAGACAATCAGCTGATTACTATTATTATATTATATATTTGACCCTTGATCCTCACCTGACTATAGCTTTGTAAACTTTATCCATGATGTGGTTTATAATGGACTGTGGTACAGAAACAGTGACAATGTTACACACTCTTCTTGGCTTAAAATGGCTATTCTCTGTCTCAGACGACGGGATGTTTGTCCCGTTTGAGCCACCGTAGTGTCTTCGAAAGGGAGGAATGAGCAGTGGGCGGAGCAATCAGTGCAACTCGCAACCGAACCACTAGATGTCGCTAAAAATCACACACTGCACCTTTAATCTCAGAGCTCATTGAATGCCAGTCTTGAAACATTTAATCATAACAATGGTTCCTTTTGGCAGAGTAACACACAATTAGCAGAAAATGAGCACATGATGGAACACACTGGTGAGCTGATGATGAATATAACTGATATTATAATCTAAAGTAGTGTTATATGCTCTGCAGATTCATATTCCACAATTCATGAATCCACAAACTTGCCTTAAAACACACTTCGCTCTGCTCTCTTGTACTTGTCAGGAGCATCAGAGATTAAACACACCTGCCTTACTCAAATAAAACACAACATAACGCTTGTGGAGGTTGTTCGGCTCTCAGCCAAACACCATCCGTCATTCAGAGAGGCATAACAAACCGAACGCTGAAACTGGGTCATGTAGTTGAGAAGCTCACACAGTGTTGAGCAAAAATCTGCCAGCAAATCTGGAAATGACATATTTTAACTTAATATTAGACAATGTGACACCAATGCTAAAATCGATTTAATGCAAGAACAAAAGTCACTTTTATACGGAAGCGTATTGCCTTCACTTGAAGAAAAAAATCTACTCTGTTTTTCTGAATTAAGTAGCCTAGTAATTTTTTTTTTAGATAATTAACTTGTTAATTCAGAAAAACAGAGCAAAAACTTTTTTCCATGAAAAATGATCTCGTAATTCTGAGATAATTAACTCGTTAATTCAGAAAAACAGAGCAAAAACTTTTTTCCATGAAAAATGATCTCGTAATTCTGAGATAATTAACTCGTTAATTCAGAAAAACAGAGCAAAAACTTTTTTCCATGAAAAATTATCTCGTAATTCTGAGATAATTAACTCATTAATTCAGAAAAACAGAGCAAAAACTTATTTTCCATGAAAAATTATCTCGTAATTCTGAGATAATTAACTTGTTAATTCAGAAAAACAGAGCAAAAACTTTTTTCCATGAAAAATTATCTCGTAATTCTGAAATAATTAACTCATTAATTCAGAAAAACAGAGCAAAAACTTTTTCGCATGAAAAATGATCTCGTAATTCTGAGATAATCAACTCGTTAATTCAGAAAAACAGAGCAAAAACTTTTTTCCATGAAAAATGATCTTGTAATTCTGAAATAATCAACTCATTAATTCAGAAAAAACAGAGCAAAAAACTTTTATGAAACAAGAATGCATTGTTTTCAACTAATTGTTGAAACTTCGACATGTTGATTTTATCGAGTTTTAGTTGACAAACTTCAAGAAATTGTTGAAAACGAACAAAAAATAAGTTCTAAGAACGTTTCGCGCGTTCCCACTGTACGCGTGAAAACGTTATTTCTGAATGTTCAAAAAAATAATAATTTGACATTCCGAAACAAGTAACATTTAAAAAATGCATGATGTATAAATGTTTCTGTGGTTACATTATTAACATTTTCAACTGAAATTCTATCAATGTTACTCGGTGAACTTAATAATAATCTCGAAAGAACCTTGCCAGAACGTTAAAGTAATAAAAAATTAAGTTAAAGTTAAGTAATCAGTTGACTTAAGTAACTTAATAAAAAGTGAGGAAACTCATTGCCTTAAAAACATTAAGTAAATAAACGTAATTGAAAAATGTGGGAATTAAATTCACATTACTTAATTTTTTTCAATTACGCGTGGTTTATCTACTCACTTTTTTAAGTTAAGTCAACTGATCACATGTCCTGAGAACATTTCCTGTTCGGTTGAAGAAGCTTTTGCAGAAATGGTCATTTTGTGAACTTTATGCTAAATGAATGTTAATGCCAGTTCTCCGGTTATCAGCAGTTCAGTGGGTCAGTGGCACAACAACACAGACGATGTGTGTAAAAACTGAAATGAACGAGCATTATTTACCATCTTGACGACAGAATCTCGGCTACTCAGTTGTCATCCTAAAGTCTGTCTCTCCAACAAAGAAAAGTTCCCAGTTTAGTTCTGGAGGTGTAATGGCAGCGTTCCCATGATGTCTCACATCCAGAGGTGCTTCCGTGGTGTCCGGTTTGGAAAGTGTGGTAGATTTGGACTGCGGTGGATTACAGCCATTGTTTAGTAAGTTATTATTGCAAGTTTGTACAAGAGTACGACGTCTGCTGAGAAATGCAAAGTGTCAAGCGGTGTGTTGTCGGCTCACTGCGCCGTTTTGTCTTGACTGTAAAGTGTTTGAGAGAGCGAGAGAGAGAGAGAGCAAGTAAAGGGTCGGAGAAGAGGAGGAGGTCTTTCTTTCTTTCAGAGGAAATCCCCCTGAAGGCTTTTCATACTTTTCTCAGTGGCAAATCAGGACCTCCCTTCACACACACACACACACACACACACACACACACACACGGTCAAACAAAGAGAGCACTAAAAGCCTCCCTGAATTTTTTCATTTCCTTTGTACAGTTGATTTTCTTCTCGTTTAAACACTTCAGAGAGAGGGAGAGGCAGAAAGAGAGGACGAGAGACTCTTGGAATGTGTAGATACACAAACACCTGAATATTATTCACAGACGCTCTCAAGAGGAGACTGACGAATGAAAAACACTGATGATTTCTTAAAAGGAATGTCCATCACACACACACACACACACACACACAGTCTCATGGAGCCAGACTTTGAACTATCTGCGTGAAGTTTGCTCCACTTTGCAGTTTATTGTGTTGAAGACCCGCCCCTAGAGGACAGACTGTGTGATTGACATGTACAGTCACCAACCACATGTTTTGTGCCAGTTAGAGGCAGACCTATCTATCTATCTATCTATCTATCTATCTATCTATCTATCTATCTATCTATCTATCTGTCTATCTGTCTGTCTGTCTGTCTGTCTGTCTGTCTGTCTGTCTGTCTATCTATATGTCTGTCTATATGTCTGTATATCTATCTATCTATCTATCCATCTATCCATCTATCTATCTATCCATCTATCTATCTATCTATCTATCTATCTATCTACGTCCGTCCGTCCGTCCGTTTATCTGTTTATGTCTGTCTTTCTTTCTGTCAGTCTTTCTTATATACTATTTTTTATTAATTTATTGAAGTAGCTTTTATTTGTATATTTTCATATAAAATATTTCTTTTTAGTTTAATTTTAGTTTATTTTAAGTTTTAGTAATTTTAGTCGTTGAAGTTTGTTTTTTCAATTTAGATTTTCTAAGTTTCAATTTTCTATTCACGTTTGATTTTATTTCAGCTTTGTTTCAATAAGCCATAATTTTAGTTCAAAAACAGAATTTAGTGGAACAGAATATCTATTTACAAAAATATAGGACAGGTCTTCATTTTTCTATTGATAATTGAATGAATAATGGTTGAAAAATAAGTTTAACCAAAATAAAACATGAATAGAAAAATGAAACTATAAAATAGAATAGACTTAGGAAATAGAAAAAAAGAAACTTAAACTAAAATTACTAAAACTGAAAAAAAAAATTAAATTAAACAGAAATATTTTTTAAACTAATAAATTACAAAAATCGTAACAAATAAAAGCTATAAATTAGAAGTTACAGAAGAAGCTTGTGATGAAACATTTAACAAGCATAACAACAGACATCATCTGTAAATCATGCACAATCAGACCAAAATCATGTATTAAGAAAGTAAAACGTGTTTATATTGATTTCATGTTGACTTCATCAAGCCACTGCCTAACTCCACATGTGCAACAGAATAAGACTGATGATTCTGGCCAGACATTAAACAAAATGAACATTGAATGAATTCTGGTTTTGCCAGTTGGTCCGGAAAATGACACGGATACCATCAAGGACACTGAATATCAGTGTGGATAATAGAGTCCTTGTGCTTCTCCACCATTATTGAATAAAGATAAAGAGTTAGCAACAGATCAGTGCCTTCCCGCTTTACTGTGTGGATAATTAGTCGGATGGACAGATGAGGGATGAAGAAAGACCGTGAGAGAGATCTGGTGTGGGAGAGCAGATCTCGGTCATGTTTTAACATTATCTGATGAGTCTGAACTATAGGAGTCTGATCAAAGCCTGTCTCAAACACTGGCCCGCATGAAGCAGAGATGAGGAGGCCGTTCACACACCGCACAAAACCAGATTTGTGATGTTGTCCACATTTCAGGATGAGTTTCATAGGTGTTTGTTCAGATCTAACCAAACCCCACGAAGTGGAGTTATACTAAAAAAAGAAGATTAAAGGAGTAGTTCACTTTTGAAAAAACATTTGCTGATAATTTACTCACCCCCATGTCATCCAAGATGTCCATGTCTTTCTTTCTTCAGTCGAAAAGAAATTAAGGTTTTTGATGAAAACATTCCAGGATTTTTCTCCATATAATGGACTTCAATGGGAACCAAACAGTTCAAGGTCCAAAAGACAGTTTCAGTGCAAACTGTTCAAAGGACTTTAAACGACACCAGACGATGAATAAATATAATAAATAAATAACTAAGTTTAAGTTTTATAAGCTCAAATGCTCGCGTTCGTGACTCTCCTGTTCGAACTCGTTCATCAAAATGAACAAAACTTTTTCCGAGTCAATTTGTTTGTTTCGTTCGTTGAATGAACAAATTGAATCGGAAAAAGATTTGTTAATTTTGATGAACGAGTTCGAACAGGAGAGTCACGAACGCGAGCATTTGAGCTTATAAAACTTAAACTTAGTTATTTATACATTAAATGAGTGATCGTTTCGCTTGATAAGACCCTTATTCATCGTCTGGAATCATTTAAAGCCCTTTGAACAGTTTGCAGTTTGCACTGAAACTCTCATTTGGACCTTGAACCGTTTGGACCCCATTGAAGTCCATTATATGGAGAAAAATCCTGGAATGTTTTCATCAAATACCTTAATTTCTTTTCGACTGAAGAAAGAAAGACATGGACATCTTGGATGACATGGGGGTGAGTAAATTATCAGCAAAAGTTTTTTTTTAAAAGTGAACTACTCCTTTAAGTTTATACTAAGTTATAAAAAACTTGTTCATTCACACACACAATCTCTTATATTCTCTCTCTCTCTCAAGCATCGTATCTCATGTCTGTATACTTCACAAATAAAAGCAGTAATCCCGGTATCATAGTTTTATAAATATATGCAGTGTATAATTTCAGTGAATCCCTGTGAGATCAGCACTAATCCAAAGATTATATGTGGTGTTTTGAATATTCTCTCATCATTTACTCATCCTTATGTCACTCCAACCCTGTTTGACTTCATCTCATCAGTGATGTTTACCAGATTGTTCACGCTGTTCTTTTTCATACCTGTGTGTGTGTGTGTGTGTGTGTGAGAGAGAGAGAGAGAGTGAGAGAGAGAGAGATTAACCTGGCATGCTAAAACTCTAACAAATGGTGTAAACTAGTGTTAAGTGATTTACAAGGTTGGTTTACAAGCAGATTTTCAGTGTTTTAGACACATTTACTCTCTTCTATTTCTCTCTCTTTATTTTATATATATATATATATATATATATATAATAAAGAGAGAGAAATAGAAGAGAGTAAATATATATATATATATATATATATACTGTATATATATATATGAAGAGTTCAGATGCAAAAGCCTCTAAGTGCCATTTGAAATTTTCTTCTAAAATGACCATTTTTATCGAACTTGTATATTTAAGTTCAGTAATTTCACTTAAATGACAATTAATAGGTAATCTTCATTGCCATTTAAGTGAAATTACTGAACTTAAATATACAAGCTTGATAAAAATGATCATTTTAGAAGAAAATTTCAAATGGCACTTAGAGGCTTTTGCATCTGAACTCTTCATATATATATATATATATATATATATATATATATATATACTGCCCTACAAAGCAAAAAGGCAGTAACTAAGCAGAGTGCAGAACTGAGAAAAATGACTTTTGCAGTGACTGTACAAACGACTACCATTTTTCTCTAAAACGACACGCATTTAAGATAAGAAGTTTTGTCAGGACACTTCTGTAACCCGATCATCATCATCGTCCATCTGTTTCTCCTTTCCCCTGCGGCGTTTCGTGAGGAAACTTTATCAAAGTGTTTCTAGGAATGAGGCTTTTGATCTGATGCTCAGAATCACTGCATAGACAAAACCACAGCCTTCGTCAAAGATGACAGTCTAAACATAAAACAACGGTTCTGTTTGATTAGAGAAATCATTTTGTTATTTTGTTTTATATTCTGTCAAATCCAGATGTGCAGGAAGATCTTCAACATCTGGATCTGTTTGTGTAGCGTGAAGAAGAGAAATGTCTTCCGTTTTTTTAAGAAATGCAGTTTAGTTTTTTTTATTATTAAATGTGTAAAGCAGTGATATTTATGTGTAAATCCTCCTTTTTGAGGTGGGACTTTATTGGTGTAATTCCTGTGAGTGGAGTGCTTTTAGTTATGTTGCCATTTTATCTTATGTTATGTTCGATATGGGGCCTATCTTGCACCCGGCGCAAATGACTTCGTACACCGACGCATGTCTCATTTGTATTTTGCACCCGCGCAAAGCGTGCTTTTCCCTGTAAACTAGGGAATGAACTTGCGCTCCCTGGGCGGGTCGGCGCAAACATTCTGCAGTTCCAGAAAACAATACGCCTTATTCACGGCAGCGCCATCTTTGATTTTTAACGAGAATGAAAGCGAGGCTGTGAGGGATAGACTTGCATCTCTTCAATGGGCTGTACTGTTATTTAATGTGTTTTCGGATTGTTCTGCTCATGAAACACTGGAAAAATATCTTTCTAAGAAATGTCAGTTGACAAAAAAAAAATTGTAAGTAATCTAGCCGCTTTATTCAGCTTTTTACAGCGGATGCCATTGGAAACACGGTAAGTCTATCCCTCACAGCCTCACTTTCATACCCGTCATGGCCAGTGTTGTGCAAGTTACTTCCAAACTGTATTACTTGTTACTGCTATTTAAAAGTAATTCATTACCTTACAATATTACTGTCTCAGAATTGTAATGCGTTAAATTACTCATGTATTACTTTTGAGTTACTTTCACCAAAATAACTAAGTAGAACTTAACTTTGGGGCTGTAACGATATGCAATATGAAACCGAAATCGCGATTCGCCACACGACTCAGATCCACGAACCTACAGAATCGCGACACACCTCTTCCAACTCCAGCGTTATTCTCCGTACCGTCCAGATCCAATGCTGCCTTATCTTTAAATTAGGCTATTAGTATTATTTGAAGTTAACATTATAAAATATGTAGACT